ATATAATGCCATTTTACTGTCGTGGGAAAACAGAATTTGTGCGAAATCACGAATGAGCAGAATTCTCACTTTTCGCACGTGCATACTTTGAGTGGACGTTGCGTGCGCATTCAATATTGAATCACCGTACATTTTTGCATGTTGGTGTTTTATAAATTGTTTGATAAGCATGCAACGTTTCAAAAGATTTCAAAAAGAACTTGGATCACAACGGGACTCCAAAGAAAATGGTGAAAATAGCAATTTTCAGTGATTTTAGCAATTTTATATTAATTTGGGCGTGTCCCCACGTGTGTAACTTTTCGATTTTAAACTTTTAAACGAGTTTAATGCACAATTTATACCTATAAAAAGCAGAGATGAGCTCCACAACCCAAGGCATGGCCTAACACCAAAGAATACTAAATCACAACTTTTGTATTTTTGTGAAATTATTGTGTAAAAAAGCACTAACTTCAATTGCAAATATCTTTATAAAGGAGGAAACTAAGAAAACTTTGCGGTAGATTTTCAGAATGCTTGAACAATTATTTAACTTCTGTATCCATCAAATTTTGAATAAAATTATTTCTTGATGGTGTAAAATTGATTTGAAAAGTTTTTACTTTTTCAAAAATCAAGTTTTATAAACGATTAACTTGATGACGTCATCAAGTAGTGTTACCTGGGGACCTCAGGCTATTATGTAGAGATTCGGCGGAATGACAGGCTGAGCGTGGCCCAGTAACAAGTAGTGATGATGACGTTAAATTATTTTTTGATATAATGTAAATTAAAGTCAAAACAATTATCTTCAAGACCTGTGGTCCAAGATGATACCGAGCGACCGATTTCATTCTCGGTATCATTTTGCATTTGCGGACGGTTATTCAAATTAATATCATTTCCTTTTGTTTGGGAAAGAGAGACACTGGCAGTCCACTCTACCCATGATTATGGGTTTTGGTCAAATGTATATGTATATATGTTTTATAAATTTGAAAACGTTTAGTGATAAAAATTATTTTCGAAATTTTCCAAATCTCAAAATTGTTTGTAATTGTAGTAAACCAGCGTGGAGCACACTTGGGCCTTATCAAATGACTATGAGTGGTTCGGCAGCTACAATACGATAATACTTTCGCACTTCGAAAGCCGCGCGTGATATTGATACTACGATACCGATTCCTATTTTGTATTCACCCCACATGAATTATAAGGGTTTAATGTTTAAATTTGATCACGTGACATGAATCGGCCATATAAGGGATTAGGTCAAATTTCTTGCTACTGCTAGGGTTCTGGTTTGTGAGTTAGCAGATGCTTGAATAACTTAAATAGGCTCATGGTAGTGTTGAGGCTCATGGTAGTGTTGAGGTAGTGTTGAGGTAAATTAAGTTAGGGCTGTCAGAGCCATGTAGAGATCGTGTTTAACTAAGTCACGTGACAATTCAGTATAGCGTGATTGATCAGGTAGGACTAGCAATTAGATTTAGTGATTTATTCACAGAATGCCGGACACCAGGCTACCAAAGTATCTACTTTACTGGATACCTGCTCACGGCCGAAGATCACGTGGGCGGCCAAGAAAGAATTAGCGAACCTGTGTCCTGGAAGACGCAGTAACATTTACAGGAGATCCAGACATTGTATTTGATAAGGTCCGAGAGTTGGCAGGAAATCGCAAGCACTGGAGAGAGATGATACGACATAAGCGGCAATTCCTTGGTGCAGGCCACTCGAATGATTGAGGAGACCTTATCAAGTATCAAGTAAGATTTATTCACAGCTGATTAGTGGTTATTAACATGATTAAATAATTTATTAAAAGCTTGTTCCTTGAAAAGATTCCTAAAGAGCTTAGCCTTCTAAGACAGTGTTCCTTTTGCCTGCAATTGCCTGCGTCAGAACAGCACAAGAAATAAACGTGTCTTCACACTCTTTATTGTTAATGCGTTAGATACAGTGATCTGGTCGGAGCATGTAAACTGTAGACTAAGTGCTTACTGCTTTACTGTTTAGATTAGATATGGACTCTTGCTACGTGATACGGTGGAGGCTCTTTCTATATGAAAGCTTCGGTAAGAATTGTTTTATGCCTATATTTCAATACCTGGCTACTATAAATACACTATATCTGTCAGATGAGTTCAGTTCGTAATTAGTATACAACCACTTTGAATTCCTTTTAAAACTTATAACGGATCAGTAACAGATTGAAGTGTAGTAGAGTTCACTTAGATCTACCATACAGCATACTACTACCATACTATAAGTTTAATCTTGATGCAAGCTAGTAAGGTATCTTGATGCAAGCAAACTACAGTGATTTACAAATTTATCACAGATCATAGTAACAGACTGAAGTGTAGCACAATTTAACTTCACTATACCACGAAACTAAAAGTAAACAGATAAGGAGGAATGTTGAGACCAAATATGATGAGCACAGCTGTCCACTTCCAGTTCATTCAACATTCAGTTTTGTTTAAGTTTAAGTTCTTTGTTGAAGATTCTGGGACGATATTTCAACGAATGATTATTTTTTCATGACTCTCGCCCAGACTGTATCCATTTAAGGCATCCGCTCCCTTCTTTGATTTACGATAATTATCGTGAACAAAATTAGAGTCTGGTATTTTTCATAAATACTGAGGTCTTCTTCCAAAAAATTTTAGATCTCTATAAACATGGTTTTTTAGACACCTAAATATTTCGATTTCCGGGTTTTTTCCAGCGTTAAATTTTAGCAGCTGGTTGCTTTTTTCCTTTTCATCTTTAACAATAGAATAGAATATTTGACCAAAACCCAAAATCATGGGTAGATTGAACCGTTGCCAGTGTCTCTCTTTTCCAAACAAAAGGAAATGATATTAATTTGAATAACCGTCCGCAAATGCATATTGAATAAGATTTATTACAATTCGTAAGCCGTGAATGAATGTGAAATGGGAAAAGTGAGCGACCGATTTCATTCTCGGTATCAATTTACATTTGCGGACGGTTATTCAAATTAATTATATTTACTTTTGTTTGGGAAAAAGAGAGACACTGGCAGCGGTCCATTCTACCCATGATTATGGGTTTTGGTCAAATATCATCTCTTTTTGATTATAATGTCAGGACAATTTACAAAGTCGAAATGTAAACTCAAATCTTCATTAATATCAATATTAATACGGAGGTAATTTTAACAATTTCGCAATTTAACCTTTGAAACAATTCCTTGTGTTTAGGTAGGCATATCGGTCGATAACTGACTGAATATGGCACTTTTTACTCATTCAAGTTGGCATTAAATTCATATATAATGCCATTTAAATGTCGTGGGAAAGCAGAATTTATTCGAAATCACAAATGAGCATAATTCTCACCTTTCGCACGTGCAAACTTTGAGCGGACGTTGCGTGCGCGTCCAATATTGAATCACCGTAAATATTTGCATAGTGGTATTTTATATATAGTTTTATAAGCATGCAAAGTTTCAGAGGATTTCAAAAAGAACTTAGATCACAACGGGACTCCAAAGTTGATAAAAATCGTGAAAATAACAATTTTCAGTGATTTTAGCAATTTTAAATCAATTTGGGCGTGTCCCCACGTGTGCAACTTTTCGATTTTCAACTTTAAAACTAGCATATAACACAATTTAGACCTTTAGGAAGCAAAATTGAGCTCCACAACCCAACAGATGGCCCAACATTATTTTATTATTATTAATTCACAAGTATTGTGTTTTTATAAAATTATTCTTCAAAAAAGCATTAACTTCAATAGCGATTATCTTTATGAAGGAGCACGTGCACGGTAGGAACATTTTGCGGTAAATTTTCAGAATGCTTGAACAATTATCTAACCTGAAAATCTCCTCAGATTTTGAATGAAATTACTCCTTCATGGTGTAAAATCGATTTGAAAAGTTGTTATTTTGACAAAAATATAGTTTTAAAAACACATAATTTTATGACGTCATCAAGTGATGATGATGACGTTAAATTATTTTTCGATATAATGTAAACTAAAGTGTAAACAATTATCTTTAAAACCTGTGGTTCGAGATGACTGTATCTTTTATACTTTCGAAGCTATGGACACTTAAATGTAGGCTACAATTGACTGCCAAAGCGTCTATACATACATCTATCACAATGCTGGCAAGCATTACCGTTGCCATTATATTCACAATACTATTTACCCCCTATACTATTATACCCCCTTTATTGTTTTTCAGGCATTGAGACTCATCGAAAGTAGTTGAGCAGGTATATTTAAGTTCAAAACATTCTAATTCAATGTTAAAGATGACAGGAATAAGAAATAGTTATGTGGAGGTTTTTTAAGAAATTTGCACAAAATACTCGCCAGCATGTTATACGAAATTAGGTAAAAACCCCAAAATCGCCATATTCAGGTGCCTTAAAAACCATGTTAAAATTGAGTTAGGGATCTGAAACTTTGCAGGGCGTCTAGACCTTGTCCAAATCGACTGTTTAAAAAATATCATGTTTCAAGAGTATCGGAAAGTGGGTTTTCTGGATCCCCTGTTTTACAACAGATTGTCGTGAAGTATATCACCTTAATAATCCCAGAATGTGTGTGTGTCTGATCGTCTGTGTGTCTGTCTGTCTGTGCGCGTGTAATTTCCGGTCGGTTATATTAAAAAAACGGTAAGAGTTACGGGACTGGTTTTTTCGGTATAGTGTCGACAAAATAAAAGTGACATCCCTATAACATCGGATTCGGACTAAACTATATCATTGGATCAATGAAAAACGAGTTATTATACAATTTAAATATTCTAAGTATCACATTATGGCATGATCACTTTCTTGATCTTCGGCTTCCTCGTTCACTTCTTCGGAGTTATTATTTACCTCCACATCTTGTAAAAGTTTACACTGAAATAAAGACTTTTGGCGTGAATACTACAAAAGTAGTGTCGATTGAACAGACAGTATATCATTGTGTTTCATTTGATATTTGCTATATTTCACTCGGTAACTTATACGTCCTTAAACAAGATGAAGGATGAGTATGAAGTCATAATTGGTGGAGATGATATATTGGACGATACAGGAGGACAGAAGGAACGGAAATCTTGGACGAGAATCGATAAGCTCTTGTTGATATTTTGTGCCCTGTGCGATTTTGCAGATGGAACAGAAATTGATCTACCTGGTTTGTACAACTTTTAAAGTTTTAACTTACAATTGAGGCAAACAACCGAAGAACTAATGGCATTCCTCACTCCTAGCCTGTCTAATACAAGTGTAGACAGTAGAAGCCTGATAAACATCCGTCGTCTCCTCAGGAATGATGACACAACAAGTTTCGTGTGACATTGAACTGTCTTCATGGAAGGAAGGATTACTGAAATGTAGTTTATACATCGCATTAGTAATATCAACTTTCATTGCCACAGTACTATCAATAAGGTAAGCGTCGCAAATTGCTGTGTATAGGCTATACTATAATACTAATAGCCCGATGATTCTGATTGTAACTGTTTATCTGCTAATAGGTACAGAAATTCAAAATTTGTAGGTTATAAAGTTTCATCTCAGGTTTGGAAGACGGAAGTTGATTATAATCTCGCTCGACCTGAGTGCAATAAGTACAATAGTCTGTGCTGTAGTTGCAGACTTTAACACTCTCCTTCTTTCCCGAATACTCCTTGGCTTTTGTCTTGGACTGAGACACACCCTGCTTTATGTTTGGGTCGCTGAGATGGTTTCCAGTCAACAGATTCTAGCTAAGCTTTTAATGGTACAGTCCATAGTGTACTATGCGGGGGAAATGTGGTCGTCGGTGTTGGGGTTCCTCCTACTTGAGCAAATTGGATGGAGAATGTTCATTCTTTGTTCGACATTACCCATAATCATTCCACCAATCGTCATGCTTCACTGCTGTTTCACAGAGAAAGTAGGCCCACAGATAGAATACAGTGATGAGAAAGAAACAGTGACCGTCCCTAACTTTGTTGGCCGAACCACCAAACTAGGGTTGCTCTTTGCTTGTATAACTTTCAATGGCTGGCTTACCACCCTCCTCGTTCCAGCCCTGATCAAAATGTTCAATATCAAGGAAGCAGGATCTAACAATAATTGCTCTGTGACCATGACTCAAGGGCAGGAACTCTTGTTACTGGGACTCGTTAACTTCGCAGCCATACCCTCTACACTGCTCACCCACTGTATTAAAGGAAAGATAGGATTTCTTAAACTACAGGGTGTAATTGCCTTGATATGCATAGGAAATTTTGCACTTATGCTCACACAAGAAAGCCTCGTGGTAGCGATTTTAACCAACTTCATAGCTAAGTTTGTGTATGGGATCACTGCCTTGAACATATGTTACGTACTCTACGACGTAAACTACTTTGGAACAAAAGACTTTGCTCTAGGTAGTAGCACGGCCTGCTCATTCGGTATGATAGGAGGGATGGCTGGGTCGACAATGGTCGCTTTTGCTCCCACATCGTCCGTTATATTCACTGCTTTGGTGCTCTCTATTGTTCAGATAATGGTCCTTTTCTCTATGACAGAGGTGCAAGAAGGGGAGATGGGAAAGGTGCAAGAAGAGGAGATGGGAAAGGTGCAAGAAGAGGAGATGGAAAATGGCGCACAAACTTTAAAGTGATCAGAACCTTTCAAATTTAAGTGAATAGGAAAAATTTCGATTCTGCACGCGCAGGACCGAGGTGGTCAAATAATTTGATTTTTCAAAAAGCAGGTATTACTGATATGATCCTTGCATGGAATATTTAATGCACGATAACCCATTTGAGGAAGATGACCTGTGATATGATCATCAAATCTGGTCATATTTCGTATCAGTTGTTTTTATACAACTTTATTAATCATAGATATTTTGACATTTTCAAATAAGGTCCGATAAGGTATACATTTATTACTTAATGGGTGTTACTCGTAAAATATTTGTTTCAGGACTGTCGACGAGTCCAACTCGGCGCGCGTCCTGGTCGGTCATACTCATAAACCTACAAATTTATTACATGCCTTCTCAATTCTCATGCGAAACTTTTGCACCCACGAGACATTTTCAAACACGAGGCTTGCCGAGTTTTGAAAATGTTGATATTGAATTGCATGAGAAGGCATGTGATTAATGTTTTATTACACTTTCTTTGGAGCCAAATTTTGCCAAATGTCGAACTTATTTATGTTTATACTTTATACTGTTCAAGCTAAGAATATCTCTCATTAGGTTAGTATTTCGGAACTGGAAGTGGAAGGAAGGCACACAACCATTATGCTGTGCTGACTTGTCTGCCACTCAGGGGAGTGAGGGGCTCGAACTCCTCAGTCCTCAAGTCGCTCACGAGGAAGGCTTAAAGTCGTAACAGGACTACCTCATCGTCCATGACAGGCAATGTTGAGACCTACCTACCTTGAACAAATTACAATCACGCTTTGTTACCCCCTTTTGTTTGAGAAGGGATGATGATTAATGATTAATCACTCTACACTCGACTGTCACGTGACTTTTTAAACACGTTCTCTTGGTGGCCCTGAATGACTATTCGAAATCCTAGCCCTCTAATCTGATCCCAACCTTAACCCTAACCCAATCTCTAACAAAAGCATATGCTGAAACCCTAACCATAACAAAAAATTAGACCGACTTCCTTATATGGTCATATCACGTGATCGAGACAGTTTTTCGCCAGTATCTCGTCAGGGTAGCATTTAACCCTATGTCATGGGAGTGATTCGGAATCAGCGTCCGAAAATACATCGATTCTATTTGGTTTCAACTGTCGGGGGCCCTTTTAGAAAAATCTCGAAAATCGACTGTAGTGATTCAGCACTCTCGTTTGAGAAGCTCGATTGATACTTGCGGTAGATTACTGGCGTCCGTTAGTATTGTTTATACTTGTAGATTTAATGGCACCTGCTATTGTTTGGCACACACCATTGTTTATACTTGTCCCTGTTAAATAACTGCAGACCAGAGGGGACTTGAGGAATCTAGGGACAGCAGTCTTCGCGCCAAAGGTCTTCACCTCATGAAACAATATGCTGATAAATTCCTGAGATAGTAGTAGTAAACCCGCGATGTGACATGTGCCTCAATACTCAATAGGATATTACAAACATTTATTATATCAATTTATCATTAAATAATTCAACAATATCAATAACTTATATGGTATTGGTTGATCCTTCACACTAAGCACCGATTTAAAAAATCCATGCCTCTATTCCCCGAGAGTTTCCACGCCAACTGGCGGGAGCTCTGCCCACACTACGCGCCTCGTTGTGTGAATCCGGTTTTTTTACCCACGCCATGTGGCCCGTCAAAACATGGCGTAGTGTGGGCAGACATTCGGGGAATAGAGGCGTAGTGTGGGCAGGCCCTAAAGCTTTTGAATCTTCGGACACTTGAATATATCCTAAAAATCTGAAGTAAAACCAGTGTGGAGCACACTTGGGTCTTATCAAATGACTATCAGTGGTTCGGCAGCTACTATAATCACCTTAATAACACCAAAATGTTTGTGTGTGTGTGTGGTGTGTGTGTGTGTGGTGTGTGTGTGTGTGTGTGTGTGTGTGTGTGTGTGTGTGTGTGTGTGTGTGTGTGTGTGTGTGTGTGTGTGTGTGTGTGTGTGTGTGTGTGTGTGTGTGTGTGTGTGTGTGTGTGTGTGTGTGTGTGTGTGTGTGTGTGTGTGTGTGTGTGTGTGTGTGTGTGTGTGTGTGTGTGTGTGTGTGTGTGTGTGTGTGTGTGTGTGTGTGTGTGTGTGTGTGTGTGTGTGTGTGTGTGTGTGTGTGTGTGTGTGTGTGTGTGTGTGTGTGTGTGTGTGTGTGTGTGTGTGTGTGTGTGTGTGTGTGTGTGTGTGTGTGTGTGTGTGTGTGTGTGTGTGTGTGTGTGTGTGTGTGTGTGTGTGTGTGTGTGTGTGTGTGTGTGTGTGTGTGTGTGTGTGTGTGTGTGTGTGTGTGTGTGTGTGTGTGTCTGACGAAGCCCATAAGCAAATTTTTTTAAATCGGTCGGTGGTAAGTGGTTTAATTGATGGTTTTGTACCAAAAATGTGACATAAAATAGCTTGAGCAGAACGGCAAGAGTTACGGGGCTTGCTCTCTCTCATTACTGTATTATATGTAGCGTCATAATTGGGTTAGCCCAGGAAGATTCGCTGTAATGTTATACCATAAGCCCATTAGGGGAGGGGGGACTGTTAGTGTTTGGGGTCTGTTTGGACTGCAGAGAGAGAGTTCATACGACAATGTTATGCGTGTTTTCAAATATTTAATGTAATATTGTCCCAATGTCAAAGCGATAGAAGAGACTATGACGTGACCGTTTGTATCCTAAGCAACGCATCTACTTCCTGGGCTACAGTATTGACTTCGCCATTTTCTCCTCCCTCACCGCCATCTTCTCCTCCCTCTTTCCTTCACTATGGATCTGAATTCTGTTACCAATGTTTTAAACTCGTTTTCATTAAAAGAGCTGAAAGCTCTTAAGGCCAGTGTTGAGAATGTCATGAAACTTAAAAGGGATTCTGTTAAATGCGAGGACTTCTTGGAGTTGCATTCAGATTTTGTTCAAAACAAGAGTGTTCAACATGGCACGTTGATGTCTGAACTTGAAACACTTATGGCCAAGCAAACTGCTGTGAAAACTGCCACAAAGTGGCTCACTTCCACTGGAGAAGAATATGTATGGTCTTCCTCAAATGGACACACCACGACTAAGGAGCCAATCGATATTTTAAATTATCCTGGGATATCAGAGCTTATGCATGATATCAACTCCAAGTTTGGCTGCAAGCTAAACTCATTCCTAGCAAGCATGTACAAGTCTGGTGCTTGTGCAACTAGGTACCACAACGACGACGAGGTGTCTCTTGACCAGTCGCAAGGTATTTATGTAGTTTCATTTGGAGCTGAGAGGACCCTCGACATAATTCCAGAAAATGGGGATAAGCGATGTAACAGTAAATGCCATATCACCCCAAAGGACTGTAGTTTGTATATTATGAAACCGGGGTGTCAGGAATATTGTCTTCACAAGGTTCGTGCAGAGAGATCAGCTAAGGAGACTCGGTATAGCTTATCTTTTCGCTGCCAGATACCGAAGACAGATACAAATGTAGTCAGGGAGCAGAATGTCCTCACTACAATTCCTATGCCGCCCACCACCACCTCAACACCGACCCTTTACTACCGAAATGCTCCAAGAAAACCGAAGAGCAGAAAAACCACTGTCCTGTTTGGTACGTCAATGACAAAACTCGTACGGACAAATAAGTTGGGATTCCGGGGAAGGAAAGTAATCAATGTGTCCCAAAGTGGTGCAAAAATTAGAGATATCACTGAAAATATTCAGCATTTTCATAAAACTCATGCAGCTGCAGAAGCTGACGATATTGAAAAGATTATATTGAGTGTTGGTACAAATGACATAAAACATTCTAAGTATGGGGTTCAGTTCCTTAGGAAGTATCTTAATGACTTAATTGACACCACTAAGCAGTTATTTCCCGCTGCAATTATAATTATCCAATGTTGTCTTCCTATTAAGTGTTTATATTCCTACATAGCAAAGAATGTTCTAGATTTTAATAATCTACTTAAAGACTTATGCCTAAATAATAATTGCGTGTTCTTAGACTGTTTCTCAGACTTTTTAACTCGAGACTTTAGATCCTGTAATGAACTTCTATACCATGATTGGCTTCATCTCAACATGAGAGGAGTAGGTTTATTGTCCACTTGGCTTAAGTTTGTTGTAAACGAACACAGTTTTGACAGGGTTGTAAATAATTTTCTGGGAATTTAAATCTTTGATCTTTTCTTTCATTTAATATTCTGATTAAGACGTTGCGCCTAAAATTAAAACTCAAACAAATCTCTGATTTAATCTTTTTCTCAATTTTATGCCTCCTATTTCAGGTACATTCGGTCACTGCCCATTTTCCCATATGTTAGACAATGAATCGTTTAGACTTAGAATAGGTCTTTTTGCATGCAAAAGGCCTCGTACACAGTCAAGAAATGCACATATACATATCAACACGTTTATACCTAACAAAATTTACACATTCAAGTCCCCATACACTCCACACATCAACCACAATTCTCATGATCATATGTTTCTTTTCTATTCTCTCATCATGACTTACCTTCTCCCAATTCTTCTCTCCACAACTAGGTCCATGAACACCGTATTCCCCCTAGATTCTAATATTCATTCCTCTCTACTCCTTGACAGCCCACGTTATCTTATACCATTTCTTGCTTGCTCCCACATCAAACTTTTCTTTGTAATTATCTCCTCATGGTTTATAAGAAATGTTCTTCTCCCTGGTAAGATGAATAGAGTCAAGTATTCCAGCCGCCTCAGGCGTCTAGTATCTTTATTCATTCTTTGGGTTTTCTCTCTTAACTTTCTTTTGATAACTCTTGTTAATCCTTCTATGCTTAATCCAGGTCCCAACTCCCTATCTGTACTCTACCAAAATGTCCAAGGTCTTATTCCTTTCAGTAACCTAAGCTCCTCCCATCCCCTTCTTGATGGTAATAAGATTTCCGAACTTCAATCCTTTGCTAACATAGAGCAGCCTGACATAATTGCCCTAAATGAGACTTGGCTCAAAAAATCTATTTCTAGCAACGAAATCTTTCCTTCTTCTCAATATGAAATCTTCCGCAATGACCGCACGAGAAAGACTCATCCTCAAGATCCTAATAACCCTAAAAAGTTTAGGGAAAATGGAGGTGGTGTTCTTTTGGCTGTTCGGTCTGATCTCGATGCCACTACAACCCGACTACCAGTTAGCCTAGGTGCAGAAATGCTTGCCGTTAAAATTGCTTTTCCTAACAAAGAGAGTATTGTAATCTGTACTTGTTATAGAGTAGGAACTCTTGGGTTACCTAATCATGATGTCATAGTTAGTTATATTCGCAAGCTAGTTTCCAAAAAGAATCCCCCTAAAATCTATGTTATTGGTGATTTTAATCTCCCCCATACAGACTGGCTATCTTCATCCAGTACCGTACCTATTGAGCAATCCTTCATAGATTCTTTCAGTGATCTTTCTCTCTCCCAGTTGATCACACCACCCACCCATAAAAGTGGTAATACATTAGACATTCTTCTCAGTAATTATGATAACACAATCGATAACTTGAATGTCTGTGATCCTCATTCCGTGTGCAAATCTGATCATTTTCCTGTCACTTTTTCAATTAAAAGCTCCTTTTCCCGCAAGAAAACTCCTAAACGTAAAATCTATAATTATAAGAAAGCAAACTGGGACATGATTAATCGTGAATTATGCTCGATTAATTGGCAAGTCCTAGAATGCCTAGATCCTGATTCGTCTTGGAAGTTAGTTAAAGACTGCATTATGAATTTAGTTGATATACATATTCCTAAAGTAACTATTAAATCAGAGTTTCAACCCCCGTGGTTCGACAGTGAACTTTTTTCTTCATGCCGTAAAAAAGATAGACTCAGAGCTAAATTTAAAATTTCTGGTTCTATTTCTGATGAGTTAAAGTTTGTTACTAGCCGTAAAGATTTTAAGAGGCTTTCATCAGCCAAAATAAGAGACAATCTTTTCAATAGTGATGATCCAGCGCTTATAACTAAGAAGTTTTGGTCACATGTTAAGTATAAATCTAACTCCTGCCGTATTCCTAATTGTGTTAGTTATTCTGGACAGCTTCGGTTCAAACCCAAAGCTCAAGCTGAACTTTTCAATTCTTTCTTTTATAACCAGTTTTCGGATCCTTCACTTTATGACACTGACATCTCCTATGTCAATGATGTTGATTTTGATATTGACTTCGATCATCGGGATGTTCGTAAGCTTCTTTCAAATATTAATTCAAATAAAGCCCAGGGACCAGATGGCATACACGGTAAAATTCTCAAAAATTGTTCCGTAGGTTTAGCTTACCCTCTAACATGCATTTTTCGTGGATCTTACAACAGCGGCTACATTCCACAAGAATGGAAACTTGCAAATGTTGTC